ACCGGATCTTTGTAATCCAAGATGACAATCATATCAATGAAAAAGAAAACAGTTTTCCACGCGAACATAGAGGACTTATACAGTCTGTTTTATAGTTTAAGGTTGTCAACACATTTTATCTCTGATATATATATCAATTATGAGTAATAATATAATTTGATTGATCCAAGTATATCATGATATATTTCTAGACTCTTGTCTTGCAATTTGCTCTTTATTATATACCAACTTGATATCATAATTGATATAGACAATGAAGACATTACTGTAAAATTGCCTATGAAAAAGATAAATATGGAGAAGAATTGATTGTGGCTCAATTAAATATGAAAAGAAGAAAGAATAAAGGATAATATTAATATTTTTTTAATATGTTATATTAAAACCTAATTTTTTTAGTAAAACTAGGAATCTTTAAAAGGGATTTTGATGCAAAACTTTTAATATGCTTATGTGAAGGATTTTATCATACAAAATTATATTAGAGTCACCATTAATCTTTAGTATTGACTTTTTTTTATTTTAAGTCTATCAATAATTAAGATATTTGTAGTCTTGTGAAATATATGTGTTATATGCTGAGCTTATACAAATCATCTTAATATTAAGTACTTGGTTATATTTTTATTAACACATCATTAATAAATTATTGTATTTTTTCAAACTTAACACTACATTTAATGACTAAGATAAATAATTTAGAGGTCGATGATTTGATCTGATAAACAAATATGTTATATAAAGTTTAATATACAAATTTAAAATAATAATGTTTTGTATCACTACCAAATAATGGGTCTACGGGGACAGTTATTTAGGGACGGTTTAAAACTGTCCCCTTTGCCTCCTAAGGGAACGGTCATGAAACGGTTCCAACCGTCACAATAGAGTTTAAGACAATGCTTTAAAATAAAGCGTTGCGCTAGAGTTAGGCTTGAAAAAAACCAAGTAATGGGCTAATAGGACGGTTTTATTATAGCCTTTATGTTCGCGCCCAAATTTTAACAAAAGGAATATTAAGTTATTTTTGTGCCCCTTCACCCGATCCATCAAATACGATCGACTAAACATTTTCTTCTTCCATCGCTTCTAGGGTTTTCCACTCCCATGCGTCCGCCACGCCTCTCTCTCATCGACTCCCCCGTCCACCGCGCCTCTCCTCTCGTCGAATCCCCCATCCACCGTCGGCCATCTTGTCGTCCGTCGTGCCTCTCCAGTCCGCCATACCTCCCCCATCCGCCGCGCCTCTCGTCACCATCCCCTCTCAAGCATCCTGTGATTTGGGGTACATATCTATCTCCTTTTCAATCATCAAACTAGGGTTTCAATTTTTCTTTTTTTCACTATTTAATGAAAATTTTACTTGATTTCACAAATTAGGGATTTCATCAAACTAGGGTTCCAATTAGATAAAGCCTGCACATCTCGCAGAAATCTTCCAATTTTTCTTCTAGCTATATATACGTGTTACCGCAATTAAGCTTTAAAACAAAAAAAGAAACATAAGAGAAAATTATAATTGGATTGTGAATACATGCAGCGAGTGCTAAGCTTGATGCGGCATGTTGTGTTCTGTTTTTTCCAATGGAAATAATCTCTTTTGTTTGCGCCGCTCCGATTGTTGCCCGTGTTATACTCTTTTATATTTGTATTTATTATTCACATTGTTTAGTTGGTCCACTTTTGATTAGTAGTTCAATGGATTTTTAATCCATGAAGTTTGTTGTTCCTTACACTAGAGAGCAAATGTTTCCGCTATTTGATTGCTATTGGCGTCAATCTTTTAACTTTTACTGCATCATGCTTTTCATGTCCTTTGAGCATGTCTTCAATTTTATTTTTTTTTCCGTTGCATTAGTTCTCAGGATCTTCTTTCCTTGTGCTTTTGTTACGGCTTTCCTTTATGACCTCTTCCACTGCTCAGTATTCTAGAAGCACTTAGTGCTAAATTTGTAGTGCTGGGAGAGATTCATGGCTCTATTTGTACTCTTGCCAAGCTTAGCTAACCTTCAAATTTCATCAAACTTTATTTAGTTGTTGAAAGGAAGAAACTAAGAGATAACAAAAGTTTCTAGTTATATGCTAAAATAAGATAGCAGAGATTGAATGGAAAAGAAGAGTAACATGAGGTTTTCAATCAGATTTAGAAAATATTAAATTGAGATCTATTTATATAAAGAATTAGTATAAACTGAATCCTGTCATCAGAAATAGAAAAAAATGAAGTGGTTCAAATAAAATGAAAATGATGCAATATTTCTTACCTTCATTCATTTCGAGTCTAAAAAAAATATGGTGGAAGAAAATTATGGAATGCAAAAGAGAAGAGAGGATGTTGTGTTACCTTCTGTACTTTTACTTGCATGAAGAGGAGAGAATAGAGAGGAAGACAGAGGTTGAGTTATGGAGTCTATGTTGCCTTAGCTATAGCTATTAGGGAGGATTTTATAGATGAGTCTGAAGGAGATGAGGACTTACGGGGACAACCAGCAAGAAATGTAGCAACTAAAGTGGTAGACAAACCAAAAAAAGTATCGAGGGCAAACTAAATGTGAAAAAGTTCATGCACGAAGTGTACATGATCGACAGGTTATTTTTTTAAATGGATATGGATAACCTATTGGACCGTCAGATAAGGCATGTAGTGAACTTAGTAGTTTCTTAGGCACACTTGGAAGAAACTCAAGTTTTGCACCTCTGGATAAGGAAAATTGGCACAAAGTTGAAGAAAAAGATAAAGAAAAAATATGGGATTATGTTAAGGTACGATATTCATATTTAATCGCTAATTTATATTTGTTTTTTCCCTCCTATTTATATCAAGTATTTATGATCAGATTTTTTTATTGTCAAATTATGTCAATGTAGGAAAAATATGACATTCCAGATGAAGAAAAAAAAATGGACCCTAGAAACTGTCAACTGTGCATAGAGGCGCTGGAAATCCTTCTTGAAGAAGAAATGCTTTGACGGGTTCAAAAACGACAAACAAAGAATGAAGACACGGCCGGATACTATACCTGAAATAGAATTTAAAGCCTTGCTCGAATTCTGGAACACCGAACAATCAAAGGTAAATGAGATGAGATTAGACTTTCAGATTATGTGCTTTCTATTCAAAAGAGAGACTGGTTCCAACTAGTTTGAATTAGTATACCTAAATAAAATATGACACATATGTTTACTATGAAAGTATCAGCCAATATTTGACACTTTGTTCTATATTGACTGGTTCTTAGTTGTATAATTATTTGCATGCAAGTTTCGAATGGTCAGGTTGTTTTTTATATCCACGTTCCTTCTGATTGTGTAGACAACAAGTGAGACCAACAAAGCAATTCGTGAAGGTCAAGAATATATACACACTACGGGGTCAATAAGTTTTGCCAGGATTCGTAAAAAAATTGTATTTCAATTGGTTTTGCTTAATATTATTTATTAACTGCATACTTGCTTTTTGTGCGTGGTTACTGTATTTATTAATATTTTAACTATTATGTCTTTATTATAGGAAAAGGAGTTGGGTAGACCTCCAAGTGAAGCTGAATTGTTTATTGAGACCCGTAAAAAGAAGATAAAACCACAAGGAGAGAAAACAATCAATTTGATAGTAAGTATATGTCATATCAACTAAATATAAATTTTCATAAATTGCTTTATAGGTCCCATTTTCATATAACATGCATATCAAATGAATATAAATTTTGCTAATGTAGGGTGCTTTAGAAGAACTCAGATGTCAAGATGAAGTTGATGATGCATGGGATTTAGTCAAGAAAGATGAACATCCTGGACGTGTACGTCTTATGGGGAGGGGTGCACTAAAACCATGCTGTTGACAAAAAGTTGAGCAAGTTCGTGAATCTGTTGTTCAAACTATATCACAAAAAGTTGAGCAAGAGTTGACAAAAAAGTTTGAAGCGCAGAAGGCAGATTTGGTTCAAGGTTTCTTCGAGCTCTTGACGGA